AGGTGGAACACGAGAGCGGAGAACAAGGTGAAACGGACCGTCTGCACGGTAACGGGACCGACGGGGCTGTGGAGACACAGCACGACTGAGGGGAGGACGACGAGTCCACTGGGAGGAGGAAAGGGACTCAACTGGTGGAACAGGAGGGGACGACAGGGGACCACGAACAAAGCGTGCAGGTGCTGGGTCGGGGAGGTCGCGTAGTCGCAGTCGCTGCTGCTCCGCCTCCTCTGGCGTCTGCTGCGACGGTACCGGCCCCTGCTGCTGCTCCTGTGGCTCCGCCTCTGCCCTCTCCTGCTGCGGCTGCAGCTGTACCCGCTGCTGCGACCGGGACTCCTGCGCTACCCTCTCCTGCTGCTGCCGTGACTCCTCCTCTACTCTCTCCTGCTGCGTCTGGAACTGCACCTGCTGCTGCGGGTGGGACTCCTGCTCTACCCTCTCCTGGTGCGGCCGTGACTGCTCCTCTACTCTCTCCTGCTGTGTCTGTAACTGCACCTGCTGCTGCGGGCGGGACTCCTGCTCTACCCTCTCCTGGTGCGGCCGTGACTCCTCCTCTACCCTCTCCTGCTGCGGCTGCAGCTGCACCCGCTGCTGCGACCGGGACTCCTGCGCTACCCTCTCGTGCTGCTGCTGTGACTCCTCCTCTACTCTCTCCTGCTGCTGCTGCTGCTGCTGCTGCTGCTGCTGCTGCTGCTGTGCCCTCTCAAATCGCTCACGCTCCTCCCTCTCCAACCGGAGGAGACGCTGCTCACGGGTCAGGAAACGTACAGTGCGCGGTGTAGGCGCCACAGTGCCAGTGCCTCCAGCTCCAGCACCCCCAGAACCAGCACCTCCACCACCAACACCCCCGGGGCCTCCAGTACCTCCCGCAGGAACACCCCCAGGCTCCGCAGCAACCGACCGCAGAGAAGAAGGAGGAGGAAACTGCGGGACGGACGGGAAGCCAGGGGGTGAGGCAGGGCGAGGCCGCCGAGTCGAGGCTGCCGTGTCCTCCACAGGAGTGACCTCCACGCCCACAACCCCTGCACCCCCAGAGCCGGCACCACCAGCTCCTGCAGCCCCAGTACCCTCACCCTCCGCAACTGCACCTCCCGCACCCCCAGACACGACAGGGACTGGACGCTGCGGGGGGGAAGACTGCGGAGTGACGTGCGACACACCTGACGGGGCAGGACGCGAAGGGGGGGGGGCTACCGGGGCGACTGGTGGGGGCTCAAGGGTGAGGAACAGCGGGGGGGAAAAGGCCTGAGTACCTCGGTGGGGGCGACTCCTGTAGTAACAGACAGACTCGTCGAACGTGACGTCCTGCGAAGCGAAGAACTGGTAGGTGACCGGGTCGTAGAACACCCAGCCGGAGGCGTCCAAAGGGAAGCCAAGAAAGACGCAGGCACGAGTGCGCGGAGACAACTTGTTCGCGCCAGGGGCGCGAACGTGAGCCAGACAACCCCAGACGCGGAAGTCAGCTGCTACGCCCGGAGAACCTGTCCAAAGGGAGACCGGCGTCACCCTTGGCCGTGCGTCACTGGGCCACAGGTTCAGCTGGTGCGCGGCGTAGCGGACTGCCTGGGGCCACAAGAACTGGGGGGCACCGGCATGGCACATGGAGGTCCGGGCAACCTCCATGACCAGGCCGATGCGTCGCTCGGCTACCCCGTTCTGCTGCGGTGATGCTGGTAGCGTGTAAGACTGGATGATCCCCCGACCCTGTCAGAACGTCTCCAGGCGAGTGGAAGAAAACTCACCACCACGGTCCGAGTGTAGGCGAAGCCCACACAGGCCCTGGGCGCCACCCCACGCTAGTAGCCACGGCTCGAGGACGGTAGGCACGTCGGCCTTCCGTCGCAAGGGGAAAACCGTGGTGTAGCGGGAGTAGTCGTCCACCACAATCAGGAAGTAGCGCTCCTGACGTGGGCCAAGGACCGGAGAGGGGCCCCAGACGTCCAAGTGCAGGGTCTCGAAGGGAGCCGTGGTGGGGGGGAACGAGGAGGAGTGAGGGGCAGCGCGCTGCCGACCCTCGACGCAAGGAGTGCACAGCGGCGCAGGAGAGCGGGGAAGCGGTGCAAGCGACCCTGGGAGACCTGAGACCAGACGGTAACGTGCCATCCTACTGAGACGCGGGAACGACGGGTGACCTAGACGGTGGTGCCAGAGGACCGACGGGTGGGTGAAGGACCGACAGTCACACGACACAGCAGCTACCTGACCTGACCTGACCTGACCCGACTCAGTGTGGTGGGACCCAGTGTGTAGTGAGTACAGACCAGATCCCGGCTCTCTGTGGAATGTGGCCAGGGGCGCCCCAGTGGCACCGACAGTGCAGGAGGCAACAGGCTCGTCCAGTGGGAAAGTAGTGACTACGCCTAGGTCATGAAGGTGACTGACACCCACCAAGTTCCTAGAGAACGAGGGGGTGTAGTAACCTGTAAGAAAACCTGAGGGAGCCGCCGGACACGGAAGAGTGGTGGTGCTGCTAGCAACTACACGTCCCACAGAGGGGTCAGCCAAGGCGACAGTGACCGGAGTGCGCAGTGGTGTGAGGTCGGTACAGTCGCGAAAGAAACAGCTGGACGCTCCAGAATCTAGGGTGAAGGAAAGCTGTGCAGTCTGTGGGGTCGCACCCGAACCAGCTACAAAGGCTAGTGCTAGACTAGTGGTAGCTGCAGCTTCTACACAAAGACCCTCAGAGGCGCCGGGACTGGAAACAACACACGCACCAAGACTGGAAACACAGGTCTCTACTCGTGCAGCCGGAAAGGGTCCTAGACCAGGCAGGTGAGACTCAACTGGTGCAGTAGTGCGCTGGCGAAGGCGCGAAGGCCAGTGCGGTGTAATAGCGTGAGGACCAAAACGCTCACGGTGGAGGTCGTCGAGTCGACGGTAGCAGCTGGACGCAGTGTGGTCAGGACTCCAGCAGGTAGTGCCAGCACCAGGGCCTGTCAGGGCCCGGTACCCGCAGGGGCCGACGTCTCGCCCACTGCTAGCTGAGCCACTGCTGGGGGCGCCACACTTTGGACCCGCAGGCCCCAACTGACGGGAGTGCTGCGGCTGGCCCTGCTGCTGTAGAACCCTAGTACATGCCATGTGAGCCTATGCTGCTACTGGTTCTGCTGAGGGCAGCCTAAGCTGCTGCTGGTGCGCTGGGGGCAGCCTGTGCTGCTTCTGGTTCTGCTGAGAGGCAGCCTAGGCTGCTACTGGTTCTCCAGGGGGCAGCCAATGCTGCTGCTAGTGCGCAGGCAGTTGCCTAAGCTGCTGCTGGTGCGCCGGGGGCAGCCTATGCTGCTGCTGGTTCGCTGGGGGCAGCCTATGCTGCTGCTGGTTCTGCTGGTTCTGCTGGTTCTGCTGGTTCTGCTGGTTCTGCTGGTTCTGCTGGTTCTGCTGGTTCTGCTGGTTCTGCTGGTTTTGCTGGTTCTGCTGGTTCTGCTGGTTCTGCTGGTTCTGCTGGTTCTGCTGGTTCTGCTGGTTCTGCTGGGGGCAGCCTACGTTGCTGCTGGTGCGCTGGGGGGCAGCCTATGCTGCTGCTGGTGTAGCTGGCGGCAGTGTAATCGGCTGGGGCTACTGACGGCGGGTGTGGTAGGTCGTGGGGAGGCAGGTTTCAGGTGGGGAAGCTGTTAAGGCAGCGGGCTACGGGTGAGGCGGCGGTTCTGTGCAGTTCTGTGCGGTTATGTGCAGTACTGTGCGGTTCTGTGAGGTTCAATGCGGTGGAGAGGACTGGGTGGGGCAGCTGATTCCGGGTGAGGTGCCTGGAACGGGTGGGGCAGCAGGTTTCCAGGTGGGGCGGCGGTTGTCAGGTCTGGGGCGGTGGTTTTCAGGTGGGGAAGCTGTGAAGGCGGCGGTTCTGTGCGGTTCTGTGCAGTTATGTGCAGTTCTGTGCGGTTCAATGCGGTGGAGAGGACTGGGTGGGGCGGCTGATCCCGGGTGAGGTGCCTGGAACGGGTGGGGCAGCAGGTTTCCAGGTGGGGCGGCGGTTGTCAGGTCTGGGGCGGCGGTTTTCAGGTCTGGGGCGGCGGGTTTCCAAGTTCGGCGGCGGTTTTCAGGTCTGTAATGGCGGGTTTTCAGGTCTGGGGGGCGGTTAAGACGGTGGGCTGCACGTGCGCGCGGCCGCGACGTACTAGCGCGAAGCTGCGGGTGCGACTAAGGCTGCGCGCGCAGCTACGCGCGTTCGTCTGCTGCGCGCTAGAGGGCTGGGGGGAAACGCGCGGGGTAAAACGAGTGGGGCGCGGGGCAGAAAACGAGTGACGCACGGCAAAAACGGGTGGGGCGCAGGGAAGAAACGGGTGACGCGCGATGTCGACGGGGGGGCGCGACCTACTCGGGCTCTACGGGGCAGGGCGCTTCGGGCTATGGGTCGCTACGAGGCGCGCGGGTGGTGGGCCCATAGACTATCGAGAGAAATTTCGCCTAAGGGAAAAAATCGCCTAGGGGAAAAATCGCCTAAGGGAAACCTAGCTCTATACCATGTTACGATAAGAATGAATTGATAGAAAATGTGAAGTACAACCCTAGATATAGCAAACCCTAATCATGCAAGTAAGTAGAAACGTAACACCTAGACTAACCTAAACAACACATATAAAATATATGTTGACACATTATTCCGCAAGTATAGCCGCGCTTTGATCCTTGCGCGGCTTGTGTCTGTACCGTATGTAGGTGCATTTTTCCGAAATTGTCACTGCCCGGTAAAGCCACCAGAGGAAGTTGCAAAAAATGCATGTGGTCGGGTCGCGTTTGGCCAATGGGACGTATCCAGCTGTAATGTTGCGCGACTGGGAAACTATCGTAATACATTATGACTTTATGACGCCAGGATTTACAACATTTGAGCGCGGCTCGGGAAAAATGGGGACATGTCATGTCCCGAATGTACCCTGAGGTCTTGCATTGGTCTATTTAAATATCAGACCATCACACGATTGTCAGATTGAAGTATCTTGACCTACCATATCGCGATCACTTGCCACGCAACCGCCACCATCACGAGGCACACACCAGCCGCCACCCTACACGTGCTTCAGCTGCTCCACCTTGGCCAGAACCTTCCTGGAAATATCCTTGAGCAGCCGCTCAACGCCCTTGGGGTCCTTCGCCCGCAGCGCCACCTCCCCCCCCTTCCCCGCCTTGCCCTTGCCCTTGTCCACGGGCTCACTGAACGCCAGGTAGTACTCGATGTCGCACACGTCAGCCAGCAGGTGGAAGACGGGGTCGGGGTCGTCCACGGGGCGGATCTCCAGCACGGCGGCGCCGGGCGGCATGAAGACGAGGTCGGCCAGCAGGTTGTCGTGCGGCGCCACGAGCAGGTGAGCGCGGTTGAGCAGGTCTTTGCGGCGCGGGATGCTGTGGGCGCCCTCGCGGTACACCACCACGCGGTCGGCGGGGAAGAGCTCCTCCAGCTGCTCCTTGAGGCGCAGCGACTTGAGCAGCTCCTCGCGCGAGTTCTTCCACCCCAGCAGCACCACCCAGTCGTTGCGCGGCGTGAACGAGTCCTTGGGGGGCGGGTTCTCCGCCACTGCTGTGGGGCGGTAGTCTGAACGGGGGAGTGGAGGGTGGAGCAGATGTGAATTGGTTGGCTGGTTGGTTGGTTAGGAAAGTGGCATGTAGAGTGAGAGCAAGGAGGGGAGTGGGACCTGCCTGAATGGGGTTCCATCTGGGAGGACTCTGAAGCCACTCCAAGCGAGAGTGGGAAGAGGGGCGCTCACCAGAGGGGCGCTCACACTCACCAGAGTAGAACATGGGAAGGCCATTCTTGGGCAGGAAGTGGTGGTTTCGGATGTACTGCCACATGGCGCGCGATGGTTGGCCGCAGCGCTGGTGCAGTGGCTGTAGTGGTGAGAGGGAGGGGGGAGGGTAAGGTGTAAGATGAGATGGGAAGCAAAGAGAGGAGGGAGAGGGCGCCAGGTGATGAACCGAGGGCAGGCGTGAGAACAAACAGAGGCGTATGCACGGGTGAGCGTGCAGGGGTGAGCGTGCAGGGGTGAGCATGGGTGGCAGTGGAGTGGCGCATCGGACAATTCGTGGCACCCTTGCTTGCAGGGGTGGTGCGAATGAAGGATGAGGGGGTGGTTTGGAGTACAGTTGGGCGCATGGCAGCAGCGGGCAGGGAAGAGAGGGAGAGAGAGGTGGACCAAGAAATGGCAAGAGGATAAGCAGTGCGGGGTGGAGGCGTGCATGGGAAGCTGGACAGCACACATGCACCTGTGCATGCCGATTCCTTCAACCCTGCAGCCCCTCAGACCTTGCAGTGAGGTTTCAGGGTATCCCCAAATCCGACTGCAAGGTTATCACTTCACAGCGCCTTGGTACCCCAGACCCACGGCGCCCCATTTCGCCACGGCGCAACACCCTCCCCTCCCCCCCAACCCCATTCCCACCTCCTCCTTCCCCAACCCAAAGGCACCCCCCACCCCCCCAAAACGCAACCCCCAAGGCACACCCATCCCTTCCCTTCCCCCCCCCTGTGTGAACGCACGAGGATGAGTTTCTCAGCGAAGAAGAGGTCAGCGCCCTGCAGCACGTGCACGTTCATGCGGCTCAGCTGCACGCCCAGAATGTCCTCCGCGCCCAGCGCCACCATCTGTTGCATCTGGTTGCGCCTGTGCGTCAGCCGGTGCCCCACCGCCACCGCCACGCCCCTCATCGCTGGCATCACCTGGTTGTGGAGGGGGCAGAAGATGGTGGAGAGAGGATGGCGCGGAGGGGGGAATGGGTGGAAGCCGCCCACCCAGAATGGTTGTGCACGGGGCGGGCGGGCGGAGGAGAGAAAATGGTAACAGAGGAGAGGGCACAGGAGGGTGGTGGAGAGAGGGTGGGTTGGGAAGAGAAGGATGTGTTGAGAGCACACATGTGTTGGGAGCACACATGTGTTGGGAGCACACATGTGTTGGGAGCACACATGTGTTGGGAGCACACATGTGTTGGGAGCACACATGTGTTGGGAGCACACATGTGTTGGGAGCACACATGTGTTGGGAGCACACATGTGTTGGGAGCACACATGTGTTGGGAGCACACATGTGTTTGGAGCACACATGTGTTGGGAGCACACATGTGTTGGGAGCACACATGTGTTGGGAGCACACATGTGTTGGGAGCACACATGTGTTGGGAGCACACATGTGTTGGGAGCACACATGTGTTGGGAGCACACATGTGTTGGGAGCACACATGTGTTGGGAGCACACATGTGTTGGGAGCACACATGTGTTGGGAGCACACATGTGTTGGGAGCACACATGTGTTGGGAGCACACATGTGTTGGGAGCACACATGTGTTGGGAGCACACATGTGTTGGGAGCACACATGTGTTGGGAGCACACATGTGTTGGGAGCACACATGTGTTGGGAGCACACATGTGTTGGGAGCACACATGTGTTGGCAGCACACATGTGTTGGGAGCACACATGTGTTGGCAGCACACATGTGTTGGGAGCACACATGTGTTGGGAGCACACATGTGTTGGAAGCACACATGTGTTGGGAGCACACATGTGTTTGGAGCACACATGTGTTGGGAGCACACATGTGTTGGGAGCACACATGTGTTGGGAGCACACATGTGTTGGGAGCACACATGTGTTGGGAGCACACATGTGTTGGGAGCACACATGTGTTGGGAGCACACATGTGTTGGGAGCACACATGTGTTGGGAGCACACATGTGTTGGGAGCACACATGTGTTGGGAGCACACATGTGTTGGGAGCACACATGTGTTGGGAGCACACATGTGTTGGGAGCACACATGTGTTGGGAGCACACATGTGTTGGGCTAGCACACATGTGTTGGGAGCACACATGTGTTGGGAGCACACATGTGTTGGGAGCACACATGTGTTGGGAGCACACATGTGTTGGGAGCACACATGTGTTGGGAGCACACATGTGTTGGGAGCACACATGTGTTGGGAGCACACATGTGTTGGGAGCACACATGTGTTGGGAGCACACATGTGTTGGGAGCACACATGTGTTGGGAGCACACATGTGTTGGGAGCACACATGTGTTGGGAGCACACATGTGTTGGGAGCACACATGTGTTGGGAGCACACATGTGTTGGGAGCACACATGTGTTGGGAGCACACATGTGTTGGGAGCACACATGTGTTGGGAGCACACATGTGTTGGGAGCACACATGTGTTGGGAGCACACATGTGTTGGGAGCACACATGTGTTGGGAGCACACATGTGTTGGGAGCACACATGTGTTGGGAGCACACATGTGTTGGGAGCACACATGTGTTGCAAAGGTAAGGTGAGGGCATGAGGTACAGCCGGCGGGCTTCAATGGCCGTGCAGGCGAGGTGATCAAAGTGCTGGCCTCCTGTTGTGCTGGCAGCCTGAAGGGCAGTGAAAGTGGCCGGTGACGGCAGCACATCTGAGCAGCACGCACCTTGCGCAGCGAGACGAAGAGTGGGATGAGTTCGAGCAGGTAGGCGCGTGCGGACCAGGCGAACCAGTCAACGAGCGACAAGAGCTCCTTGAAGCGCCGCACGCGCGTGCGCCCAGAGGCGTAGCGGAAGTTGGCGGCGGCCAGCGTGACGGCGCAGGCGTTGTGGTCGAAGAGGTGCGTCTCGTTGAACACCTGCCCTGCCAGGTTCACATACACGTTGTGTAGTACCAGCACCTGGTGGGGTTGGCAGGGGTTGAGCGGGGGAGGGGGGCGTAGGAGAGAGGAAGAGCGGAAGGGTTAAGTGCGGTTGTGACTCGTTGACAGCTTGGCTGGCCATGTTCACCTACACGGTAGAAGGGGGTGCCAGGGGTGAGGGGGGGAAGGAGGGCGTGGGGGGTTTGGGTGGGGAAGGGAGGGAGTGGATCGAAGAAGAAGGTTCACTGGACTGGACTGAACTGAAGCACACAGCATTCTTAGTGGCAAGAGTGGAGAGAGTGGGACCTAGCAAGCCCTTTCCCACCTTTTTCCCCGCCCCCCATCCTGCGCCCCTCCCAGCCCCCACTTGCCGCCCCCCAGCCCCCCTCCCCTGTTCCCCCTCGCCCCCCACCTGAGCGGCCCACTTCGGGTGCGGCTGAAAGTCGGTTTCCTGGATGCAGCTTTCGTCCAGCGAGGGGCAGTTGGCGGGGTAGCGAGTGGGCGTGCGGCTGCTGTCCGCCAGGGGCGCCTCCCAGCACGACCCCACACCGGGCAACCGCTCGTACGCAAACTCAAAGTCGGGGCACGGGGGGCCGCGCGAGGCGCGTGGCGGGGGCGAGCCCTTGGGTTTGGGCTTGGCCTCGTCGGTGAAGCGAGTGGCGTCGAGGTGCACGCGCTTGAGCAGCGTGCGCGAGATGTCCACCGTCAGGTACGACCGCTGGGGTGTGCCGCCCTCCAGGGGGAACTGCCCGTCCACCGGCTTCCAGTGCGCGTGTGGCGCACTCAGGAACGCGCTCTCCCCTGCTCCCCCTCCCAACCCTGCTCCCCCAGCCTCTCCCCCTCCCCCTGCTGCTGCAGAGGTGGCGCCCTCCGCCCCCCACTGTCCGCCCTGCTGCTGCTGGGAGAGCGCCTGGGCTGCCGTGCCGCTGCTCCACCCGCTGCTCTCCCCGCCCCCTGCGCCGCCCCACTGCCCGCCCTGCGCGCCCTGTCCGCCCTGCCCGCCGTGCTGCATGGGCAGTGCCCCCTGCGGCATCGTCTGCTGGGGCTCAACCATCCCGCCTGATGCTCCCCCTCTCAATCCGCCCCACCCGCCCCCGCCAGTAGCCATTCCCCCAGCCCCTCCGCCTATCCCCCCTGCCCCCCCTTCGCCTGGCATTTGAATCCCCCCGCCTGCCCCCCATCCCCCCCCCTGTTGCGGAAAGCCGTTCCCCCCTCTCCCCGCGTCCCACCCTCCAGCGGCCCCTTGCTGCCCCCATCCCCCTCCCTGCGCCCCCCCCATCCTATCGCCGCCAGCCAGCTGCCGCGGCCCTCCCCCGTCGTTCCGCCAGTCCCCCCCGCCAGCGCCCTGCCACCCGCCCGCCGCGCCCTCAAACCCGTGCCGATCCCCAAACTGCCCCCCGGCGCCTCTCCACTCCCCCCTCCCCATTGCGCCCCCGCGCGCGCCCCACTGGTCGTCCCCGCCCATCCAGCGCTCGTCCATTCCGCCCGCGGCCCCGCCCCGCCATGCGCCCATGGGTCCGCCGTGGCGGTACCCCGCGGAGTAGTCGGAGCGCGCGAGGAGGAAGTAGAAGAGCATTCCCGCGCCGCCCAGGAGCAGCAGCGAGCGCATCGACGCCCACCGCGCCGCGTGGTGCGCCGCGTGCGAGTCGGCCGCCGAGCTGGCGCGATCGGAGGCGCGCAGCACCGCCTTCTTCTTCGGGCGCGGGGCCATCGCGCGCTGCGCGGGGGTAGGGGGAGGAGAAGGGATGGGGGAAGAGATGGATGGAATGCGAAACAGGGAGGGGAAAATCCTGGGTAAGAAGATTGGCGGGGGAGAATGAAACGGGATCATTCGAGAGATGGAAGATATCAAGCGAACAGGAAGGGGAGGGTAACAGGATGTGAAGCGACGATCTTGACACACGTGTTGTCGCCCTGAATCGCACTCACCCAATTTGTCGGAGTGCGCGACAGGCGCACCCGAAGCGAGAAGCAGCGCGCGAGATGAGAATAAGTTACACGTGGCTAGGTCAAATAGACTGCTTGGGAGACGGAGGCAATGCGCTCGAGAATGCGGCGGCGGAATATGTCGTTTCTAAGGCGCCTCGAAATACGAGTTGATGCTAAATGCGAAAGGAAAATCCGCGCATGCCAATGCGGATCACGACGTGCAGGCAAGGCCAGAGAAGGAGCGCTAGAAAGCCGTGCTCTGGAATTGATGGTGGTTGAGCATCGGAGTGATATCAGTACGGGGTGGATTTGGTTGTACGCGCTATATAATTCATCACCACGGAGCCTGGTCTGAGACAAATTTCCATATAACATTGGTAGCTGTAATGTAATGTTGTAACCCTTGCACATTACAGCGAAACTGAGCCAGCTGTATCCTATATTACTGTTATGGGTGCAATGGAACGAGATAGCGGGGATTGCACTAGGTTGTCAAACGAGTACAAAGTATGAGCGAAGGCATGAGCGAATACTTATGTGCGAACATGTCAGAATATGTTGTATTTGTCTAGCCTGCAGTGTGGTACTCAATAGTGAGTACAGCCCAATCTAGGGTTTCCTATACGTACTCAACTGCTTGCTAGTGAAAACCCTCTTTCTCGTTTCTCTTTTTCAACTGCTGTTTTCAACATGGAATCAGAGCAGGTCGACCCTTCTGGGTCGATCCTGTGCATGGGCCCACCATTATCTTCCGCTGCCATCCTACCTATCGCGCGCCTCGGGCGCGCACTGTCTCTCTGCCTGCCGCGGCGCGCGGCGGTTTTCTGACCATCGCGCCGCCCTGGGGGCCGCGCGACGCCCTACTCTGCCCGTCGTGCGCCCCGTGGCGCGCGGCGGTGCCCTGCCCGTCGCGCGCCCCGGGGCGCACGGCGGTTTCGTCGCCCGGGGGGCTCGTGCGCGGCCCCCATTCCCGTCGCCTGTCGAGGCGACCCGGGGGGGGCCCGCGCGGGGCCACGCGTCGGCCCCTCTCGTCTTCGTCGCGGCCCTGCCCGGCCCTGCTTTGCCCGGCCCTGCCGTCCGTCCCCGATCCTGCCCCGGCCCTGTACCGGCCCTGCCCCCCCCCCCCCCCCGTAACCTCCCTACCCGCCATCTACGGCCCTGCCCTGTGTTAGGGTTTGGGGGTGGCGAGTGGGGGGTGGCGGGTGTGTGGCATCACCTGCTCCTCCTCCTACTTCGTCTCCCACTGCTGCAGCTGCCGCTGAGGGGGGTGGGTGTGTGGGAGTCGACGGAGTGGTGCTAGGGGGTGGAGTGTGAGTGAACCTAGGGGTGCAGCAGGGGGTGTGTGAAAGGGGGGGTGAGACAGTTAGAGGGAGGTTGGGCGGAGGCAGCCGTCGTGTCGCCAGCAGCGCCAGTAGTCCGGAGGCTACAATCTCCGGTAGCCCAGCGAGCCTGCTGCGCCAGTCGCCCGTGGGTCCGTTGCTCCTGCCGCTCAGAGTTAGCCGCGGAGCCAGTTACTCCAGTAGTCCGGAGGCTACAATCTCCGGTAGCCACAGTGCGCGCCGCTCCTGTTGCCCGTGTTTCTGCAGCTTCACCTGCCGTCTCCTATCTCCTCTCCTCTCACAGTCCCTCCTCCTCCTCACTTGTCCTCTGTGATAGCCTCTAGCTTTGCTTATATTTGTGAACTATAAACTGCTGCTTCTTGTACTTGTGCTCAGAATGTGTGGTGACATTGTGATCCACCCTGAGCTTGTTTTTGCTTTACTTGATTGTGCTGATTACACCCCACTTTGGCTATGGGGGTGTGTCAGAATATGTTGTATTTGTCTAGCCTGCAGTGGGGTACTCAATAGTGAGTACAGCCCAATCTAGGGTTTCCTATATGTACTCAACTGCTTGCTAGTGAAAACCCTCTTTCTCGTTTCTCTTTTTCAACTGCTGTTTTCAACAGAACATGCAAACGGTAACGCGTGTTAGAATTTGAAGTGATTGAATAGGATCGTACTACTTAGGATGGTAGCTTCCTGTCGTAGCGGAAGTCTTATATGAGTTTAAAGCCAGTTATGAAGGCTTTGTCTGGACTTTAATAAAAGCCCATATAGTGATATGTTTCAGGATCAATGTCTCTGAAATCAGATATATTATAAAATGACAAACATACAAAATATATAGCTAGAGTAAAGTACCTGTTCGCCTACTGTACTGTGCTATTCTTGTTATGAAACAGTACGTAACTTTTCGCGAGGCCTATAGCTACGTGCTGACGTCATCATAGGGCGCGTAGCGCTTTGGTGACGTCAGCCTATCGGTACTTTACTGTACTACACGAATTTCCTTGAAGTGCTTAAGTCTCGATATTATCTCAACACTCCCCTTCACTTCTAGGAGTTCGGTGTGTCAAACTTATATCTGCTATGGTCTATTTAGGCTGTAGTGGGGTAGCTCTTACAGCCCCTTTAGGTACATACGGGGTACCTCGTTAGGCCCCGTAAGGCCCCTTTAGGCCCCGTTTAGGGCGCGGATTAAGGCCCCGTAAGGCCCCGTTATGCCCCGTAAGGCCCCGTAAGGCCCCGTCAGGCCCCGTTCGACCCCGTTTAAGGCCCCGTTAGGCCCCGACAGGCCCCGTTAGAGGCCCCGTACGGCCCCGTCAGGCCCCGTTAGAGGCCCCGTACGGCCCCGTCAGGCCCCATTTGGCCCCGTTTAGGGCGCGGATTAAGGCGCCGTTAGCCCCGTAAGGCCCCGTAAGGCCCCATCAAGCCCCGTTCAGCCCCGTTTAAGGCCCCGTTAGGCCCCGACAGGCCCCGTTAGAGGCCCCGTACGGCCCCGTCAGGCCCCGTTAGAGGCCCAGTACGGCCCCGTCAGGCCCCATTTGGCCCCGTTTAAGGCCCCGTAAGGCCCGTCAGGCCCCGTTATAGGCCCCGCAAGGCCCCGTTATCGGCCCCGTACGGCCCCGTTATAGGCCCCGTCAGGCCCCGTTATAGGCCCCGTTCGGCCCCGTCAATCCTCATCTGGCCCCGTTTCAGGCCCCGTAAGGCCCGTCAGGCCCCGTTATAGGCCCCGTACGGCCCCGCACGGCCCCGTTATAGGCCCCGTACGGCCCCGTTATAGGCCCCTTCAGGCCCGACCGGCCCTGCTGCGGCCCTGTCGCAGCTCTTCCCCGACGCTGCCCCGGCCCTGCTCCTGAACTGCCCCGGCCCCGCTTCTGCACTGCCCCGGCCCCGCTTCTGCACTGCCCCGGCCCTGCTCCTGACCTGCCCCTGAACAGCCCCGGCCCTGGCCCGGCTCTGCCCAGGCCCTGCCCCGGCCCTGCCCCGGCTCTGCCCCGGCCCTGCCCCTGAACTACCCCGCCCTGCTTCTGCACTGCCCCGGCCCTGCTCCTAAACTGCCCCGGCTCTGCCCCGGCCCTGCCCCGGCCCTGCCCCTGAACTGCCCCGGCCCTGGCCCGGCTCTGCCCTGGCCCTGCCCCGGCCCTGCTCCTGAACTGCCCCGGCCCTGCCCCGGCCCTGCTCCTGAACTGCCCCGGCCCTACCCCGGCCCTGCTCCTGGACTGCCCCGGCCCTACCCCGGCCCTGCCCCAGCCTCTCCCCTGGTAAGAGCGCCGCGCTGCCGAGCCACACCGCCCTGCCGAGCTGCGCCGCCCTACCTAGCCTGCTTAGCCGAGTTCCACTGCTGCTACTGCTAGCCTGCTGCTTCTCCTGTCATGGCTAGTCTCAATGTTCTTACCTTTGATGCTGAGGGTCGGGCTGTTGACTTTGAGGTCTGGCTAGATGATCTGCAGCTTTTCCTACAGTGCGATGGCAAGGATGGTCTCTCACTGTTCGATCTCACTTCTGGCGCCTCTACTGCCCCTACTGCTGATGCTGACAGTACTGTTCGCTCGCAGTGGCTCACGCGCGATGCTGCTGCTCGTCTTAGTGTGCGCAACCACCTGCCGTCTACTGAGCGCGCGCACTTTAGTCAGTACAAGAGTGCTAGGGCTCTGTACAACGCTGTAGTTGCACGCTACTCCTCCCCTGCCACTGCTGCCCTCAGCCGCCTCATGCTACCGTACCTTTTCCCTGACCTTGCTGCCTTTGCCACTGTCGCTGACCTAGTTGCTCACCTTCGCACTAGTGACGCCCGCTACCGCGCTGCCCTTCCCACTGAGTTATGTGCCAAGAACCCCCCCCCCCATGTACATCACCCTTTACTACCTAGTCACCCGCCTCCCTGACTCTCTTTCTTCAGTCAGGGACCACTTTCTCTCCCTTTGCCCCACCGAGCTGACTGTCGACTTGCTAGAGGAGCGCCTTGCTGCAGCTGAGAAGAGTATCTTAGCTGTTGGTGCTTCTCGCGGTGACCGTCGCACCCCCTTCTTTAAGGGGTGTTCCCCTGTCCCCCTTCTCCCCTCTGTTGCCTCTGCTGCTGCTGTCGACCTCGTTGGCACTGAGGAGGTCGGCGCTGCGTCTGCCCCTAGTGGGCGACGCCGCACTGGCAAGGGCAAGGGAAGCAGGGGTGGTGGTGGGGGCGGTGGAGGCAGCGGTGGAGGAGGTGGAGGAGGTGGAGGTGGTGGTGGGGGTGGTTCCGGGAGTGGGGGCGTAGGTGGCGGCAGTGGCGGCCGTGGCGGCGGTGGTGGAGGAGGTGGCGGCTGCGGCGGCGGTGGTGGAGGTAGCGGAGGAGGTGGTGCTGGTCGCGGTGCGGCCACGCAGCGTGGAGGCCTTGGTGGCAGCCAACGTCCGCAGCAGCTGCGCACCCGTGAGACCCCGTCTGTTCAGCAGCTTCGTGAGTGGTACGCTGGACGTGGGAGGTCTGGGGGTGCAGGTCCCTGCGCGTACGTTCTTCGCACCGGCACTCGTAGTGGGGAGGTGTGTGGTCTCCCACACACCACGCAGCGCTGCTTTGGCCGCTTGACTGACGCTTGGCGTA